ACAGTCATCGGCCTCATCCAGGACGGAGACGAGTCTGCTTACAGACAAAAGGTTGAGCAGCTGGCTGTCTGGTGCAGTCACAACAACCTGGAGCTGAAAACATTCAAAACAGTGGAGATGATCGTGGACTTCAGGAGGAACCCCCCTGCACTCCCTCCACTCACCATCATGAACAGTACTGTGGCTGCAGTGGAGTCATTCAGATCCCTGGGAACCACCATCTCTCAGGACTTGAAGTGGGACACTCACATCGACTCCATTGTTAAAAAGGCCCAACAAAGGTTGTACTTCCTTCGCCAGCTGAGGAAATTCAACTTGCCACAGGAGCTGCTGAAACAGTTCTACTCAGCCGTCATTGAGTCTGTCCCGTGCACTTCAATAACTGTCTGGTTTGGTTCAGCTACAAAATAAGACTACAGAGAACAGTTCGGACTGCTGAAAGTATTATTGGTGCTCCCCTGCCCACCTTCCCAGAACCGTATACATCCAGAGTGAGGAAAAGGGCTCAGAAAATCACTCTGGATTCCTCACATCCAAGCCATCTCCTTTTTGAACTTTTGCCATCTGGTCGGCGCTACAGTACACCGAATACCAGGACAGCCAGACACAAGAATAGTTTCTTTCCCCAGGCAATCTACCTCATGAGCAGTTAATGTTCTCCCATTGTGCAATAAAAGTATGTGCAATAACCCTATACTTATTTATCACTCTAGATCCTAGTACACCCCTACAACTTATTGGATGCACAATAAGAATTGAGAAGCACCCAGTGTCGCCATAGAAACGCACAATCCTCTCGTAATTAGGCTTCCTTAATTATTATGACATGGCGTGAATGCAGCATTCAGCTCATTTAACCCCAATCAAACACACCTGAACAAGCTACTCAAGGTCTTCCAGATTACTAGAAAGCTACAGACAGGTGAGTTTGATCAGGGTTGGAGTTGACCTGATCTCCTTGGATCTTTAAAACCCCATTAAAACCCCAAGTGTATGTTGCAGCAACACGGTTATTAGTTTTAGTTTTGTGTGCGTCGCTGTCCGCTGCTCCTGACGCACCAATTTCAACGCCTTTTCCAGCAGCGATTATTGTGAGCTTACAGATCAAGAGGATGACAGCTCGAGTGTATTGCTCGTTGATTGCTGTTTTGTGTCTGTCTGGATATTTGAGCATTACAGATGCTACTCCAGGAAAAACCACAGGTGAGAATATCCGTTAACTTCATTCCACAGCCTGCAGAAATAAGTGACTCACAGTTTAGGGATGAGTAGTAGGTTTTACAACTTTTGATTGAGGCAGATAAATGTAAGGTTTAAGACCCGTATTGCAAAACCCCTGATTTCCAAATGCTGAAACCGCACTCCCTGGCCTCCCCTAATGATCCTCTTGAACCCTCTAGGGGTCCTCAAAAAACCCAAGTATCGTGTTGAATTCAATGTCTTAAAGAGACTGAAGTGTTATTTAAAACTTTTGATTTAAGGAAATGAAGCTGTTCAGGATTCAGTGACTCTTTCTGTGTTGTCTGAATAACAGCAAAGCCTGGAGAGTGTCCACCCCAATCATTTGGAATAAAATCGTGTAACACGTCCTGTAACAGTGACTCTAACTGTCCCAACAATAAGAAGTGCTGCAGCAATGGATGTGGACATTACTGTACAGCTCCATATAAAGGTATTTGTCATGTTGTGGTGATTATTAAATGTTTGCCTTATTGTTCTAGTCAAACGTAGGTTTGAATTCATCCCTTTAGGACCGTTTTAAATCCAGGATGGCTTTACAAAATAAAGCAGAATACTACTTAAAATAGAATTCACTCTGTCGGTAAAACTTGCTATTTCTGCTTTGAGTGTTTTGTGCTGTATATTGAAGTGGCATACAGTCATGCATGGACTAAAACTGTCTGTGTCCATGCAGTGAAGGCGGGTCAGTGTCCCAAACCGAAGAAGACTCAAGCATGTGCTGAAAGCTGTTTCCATGATGGCCAGTGTCCTGCCACGCAGAAATGTTGCCCAACCACCTGTGGCCATGCATGCAGTAAACCACGTGGTGGGGGAAGTAGTCGTGGTCGGGGAAGTGGTGGGGGAAGTAGTCGTGGTCCGGGAAGTGGTTGGCGAAGTGGTCATGGTCCGGGAAGTGGTTGGGGAAGTGGTTGGGGAAGTAGTCAAGGAAATGGTCGGGGAAGTGGTTGGGGAAGTAGTCAAGGAAGTGGTCCAGGTCGAGCAAGTGGTCAGTAAAATGGGCATTTTGCATAACACCTACTGGAGATCTTTTCAATGCAGTGCTTTATTCATATGGCATGTGTTCCATGTTTGCTCAAACAGTTTAGAAAGATGTTCTCTTCTCTCCCTTTTTTTTTTTTTTTTAAATAAATACTTTGGCTTTTTTCACAACTGCTTTCTGGCATCAGTGCTTTGTGTAAGGATTTTCTCCCGGAGACCCAAACAGCCCTGATTTAGGAAAGCATTAGTGTGTTTTTTATTTATTTTTTTTTTTTACAAAAAAATACCACTGTCATGGGGCCTTAACGTTAGTAATGACCCTAAAATCTGTTAAGATTTTTGCTGCAGGTGTTTTCTGCACCTTTTGCAAAGTCTTCAGATGGTCAGGAGTGACCCATGCATCTGCCTCATGGGATGCAGTCAGTTTCTCCTCTGTACACGTCATCCATTTTTAAGAAGTACAATTTTAAAGTTGTACTTTTAGAACTTACTTGTAAGCCTACACCGTACAATGTTTCGGGAGTGACAAACGCAAGTGTAAATTACACAAGTCAATTCTGTGATAAAGCAAAGGATGGAACAAAACATCTGACGAGCCACTGTAAAAAAAAAAAAAAAGTAACAATTACAGTAGCAAGTCTGTTGGCTGAATATATTTAGCAGCTTCTACCGTTAAAGATAAAACTTTAATGCAATTTCTTTAATTTAAAAAAAATACTTAATTCGTTGTGTATATAATCCCTACATGCAGTTTGTGTGGGGAACCATCCCAGTTTTGGTGCTATGCCCATGAAAAGACATCAGCAATCCGGTGCAGAGAAAAAGAATTACGCCTGTGCATCACTTTCAGGAACATTTATAATCCTGTGACCCTTTTTTTTTTTTTGTGGCTGTTGACGTTAATGTGTTTTAATGTAGATAATTTAACCACCACCTATGCATCTAATTTTTTTTTCTATGTATTCTTTTCTATATACTGTTCTAAATAGTTTCCATGTTCCCTTATGAAAATTAGCCATGGTTTTACTACGAATAAAACCAAAAACCATGGTTCTTGTAGCCACGGTAACCACAAATGAACCATGCTTTTGTTACTTCAAATAATGGTTTACAAAGTACTAGAATAATATTTTTTTTGTGGTTCTAAAAACAGCCCTAAGCCAACAACAGCCTTTAAAATGACATTTATATTAAAAACAATGAGGCAATAATGATCGGTTCAGTGTTGACTAATTTTCAGGTAAAGTTTTTAAATTCCGGACAATTTGTTGCTAAATGACATTGTGACGTCACTGCGTGAGGACATTATGTAATCGCAATGCAAAACTGCATAGAATACACAATCAGATCACTCAAATCTCAGCAAAAAATACAATGAATATGATTTGAAATGTTAATTTAGATTTGTTAGTAAAACTAAAAAATAAATATATAAAAATACTATATATTTTAAATACAACATTGAATTGAATATTTACACATTTTTTAACAATTACATTTAATATTTTTTCCTAATTAACTAGTAAAACTACACATTCTGAACAGTCATATTTTTAAGCAGTGTATTGGAAGTTAGTTAGTGTGCTAGCACAATGTGCTAATTTGAAGGAATTTTCTGTATTGATTTGCATTGTATTTTGTGTTTTCAGGTTACAACTTAACAGAAAAATTTCTGGAAGAAAATTACCAGTACTTTTTCAATTTTTCTACATATTTTGAACTGATCAACATGTGCAGGTACAAACATAAGGTGTTATCATAAATGAACAATTATTGAACAATTGCAACTAAAAACTTAATTCATGTGATACGTGTACTGCTAGACACCTTTGATTTCCTCTTTTTGTGTGATTTCAAAGGAAAATGTCTTTTTATCACTTGAGTCACAGTTAAAAGTTGCTAAAAGCTAAAAGTTTCCAAATAAATTTAAGTAAATTTGTTGCTAGGTGCTTTTTGAAGAAAAAGTTGCTAAATCTAGCAACAAAATTGCTAAGTTGGCAACACTGGATTGGTTAGTTAATAATTATATGGTTTCATTGAATAACACTGTTAAAATACATAATGTAATACAAAATGAATAATTTATGTACATTACATATTATTACAAATGCCTGTAAAGGGCGCCTAAGGCCTGGTAATTGTTGCTGTTACACTTACAGGATGATCAAATCCCTGTTTAATATTGACCAAACATTCAGGCTAATTCAAATATCCACTTAATCTTAAGGTAGGCCAAAATAACAAACCAAACCAAAATAACTACCCCAAGAATATTTATAAATTACTTTATTTTTGGATTATCTTTTTCTAGGTACATAAAACTTCCCTCTCTTCCTGTCTGCCCATAACCAGGAGAAAAAAAGAAGTACAAACAAAAATGGCATCCTCCCCCTACATTCCCTTAAATGTATGACAAGGCTTGTGAATACTGGTATTCTACCACCCCCTATACATCTTGAGAACAGATTTGAAACATTAATGAATGTGGGTGAGGAATCCCCAAATGTGATTAAAAATGGATCGGATCAGCCAGCAGCTAACATCGCTACTAACTGGTGCTCAAGGTCGAGCAGACAGCGGCATTCAGCTCAGAGTGCAGCCGAGCCCAGGACTCTGATAGTGGGCGACTCCATTATCAGAAACAGCAGTAGCAGGACTACAACAATATGCTGCTTTCATCAAGCAACCGTCTCTGATGTGAACAGGGAACTCTGGAACATTCTGATGAAGCACAAGACTGCAAATTGAATCATCACCCATGTGGGGAAGAATGCTATTCGGAAAGAGCAGTCAGAACTCCTTAAGAAGGACTTCAGTGAACTCTTTGAAACACTTTGAAGACTCAAAGTTCAGTCATTCATCAGTGGACCACTCCCAGCAAGGGGAGCTAATATGTTTTCATGGTTGCTTGGGCTGAACACATGGCTACAACGATCTTGCAATATAAAAGGAGTGAATTTCATCTACAACTTCAATCTTTTCTGGGGCCATAGACAACTGTTTAAACCGGATGGCCTCCACCCAAACTTGGTGCAAGAGTGCTTAAGGACAGTATCTACTTCTCCCTCCGTCATCCTTCAGTAGTGTGTGTCAATCCACTCAGCCTGAATAGCACGCACACACCTGGTCTGAGTCGTCATCTGGTTGACACATCCCACAAGGACACTGATAACACCACGCAGCCACAACAAGCACTGCTCATGGACACCATCCCGGCTGAGTCCTGCCCACAGAGCTCATCACAAACAGACTGTGACGTATCAGAACAGCTCCAAGACTCGGCACCCAAGGACGACTTTCTGGAAAACAGCCTGGGAAGCCAGGACAACATATGTCCTGTGGGCCCAGCTCGTCGTCCTCCTCCTGTGAGAGCTCTCAACTGCTGCCACAATGCCAGGGCCCAAACCCTCCTCCATCTGCTGTAGGTGAACCAAAAACAGCTGATAACGGCTCTCAGTGATATGTGTCGGGTCCCCGCTATAATAGCAGCAACATTCACAAATGTTTACAGAACAAGCGGGAACCCAGTGTGCCTGTAGCTTTCTCTATATCTGTTTTATCAGGTGATAGAAAGTCTAAGGCCTTCTCAAGCCGTACGGCTGACTCATCTAATCTGCGGCCTAATATGCATCAATGTAATGAGGGTGAGGCGGAAGCCGAGGAAGAATCCATATGCGGATGTTTATTGAAGCAGTCCAACAAAACCAAACTCAGGGTCAGTAAAAACAGGCAATGAGGTCAAAAACACAGTAAAGCAATCCAAACAGGCAAAAGAGGTAATCCATAAGAGAAGTCAAAACAAACAGATAAACAGGTCATACACGTGGTAAGAAGGCAGAGATACAAACTCTTGGTAAGGCAGGATAAACTGGCAATACTTTGCAAAGTAGTCATGTGGTGGCCAGGTTAATATGGCCACTAAACAGAAAGTGGTTGCAGAGAAAGCAAAGGGAGTGCTAACAGTCAATACTCGGTCGAGGGCTCCCTCTGCTGGCTTGGTGTTACAGAACCCCCCCTCTAGGAGTGACTCCTGGTGCTCTGCGTGGGCGTCCCCGTGGTCATGGTGCTGGACGGTCGGGCCTGGCTCAATGAAATTCCTCTATGAGTGAGGGGTCCAGTATATCGGAAGCAGGTATCCATGATCTCTCCTCAGGTCTGTATCCCTCCCAGTCCCCCAGGTATTGAAGCCGACCCCCTCTACGCCTCGAGTCCAGTAGCATCTTCACCTTATAAGCTGGTGATCCATCAATGTCCAGCGGAGGCGGTGGCTCTTGGGACTCAGCGTTGGGGTCAGCATTCGGGTGGACCGGTTTGAGGAGCGAGACATGAAATGATGGAGAGATGTGGTAGTTAGCAGGAAGCTCAAGCTGATATGTAACCTCATTGATCTGTTTTAAGATTTTGAATGGGCCAACATACCTTGGGCTGAGCTTTCTGCTCGGCAGACATAGCTTGATGTCCCTTGTAGAGAGCCAGACCCTCTGTCCTGGTTGGTAGGGAGGATGTGGGCGCTGTCTTCGGTTTGCCTGGAGTTTTTGAACTCGTACAGCTCTTTGAAGATGAACATGAGCGCTATCCCACACCCTCTCGCAACGACGTATCCAGTCATCTACTGCAGGAATGGAGGAAGGTTTGCCAGACCACGGGAACAATGGAGGTTGATATCCTAATACACATTGGAATGGAGTGAGTCCTGTAGAGGCATGGGTTAAAGAGTTTGGGCATATTCCGCCCATGGCAATAATTCGGCCCACCGATTCTGTTCCCGGCTGCAGTAGGTTCTCAGATATCTACCAATCTCCTAATTGAGTCGCTCGACTTGACCGTTTGACTGTGGGTGATAGCCTGACATCAGACTCACATTGATGTCCAATTGTCGGCAGAAAGCTTTCCACACCTGAGAGGTGAATTGAGTCCCTCGATCCGAGACGAT